TTTTTTTGTTTCATGACAGGTTGATTTTTCCGCAGACACAGGTGACATTCGTTGATCTGCAGCCTTTTTTGAATTATGCAAGATGTTCTAGTAATTTTTACCTTTTGCTTTTTAGGCTTGTAGGCGACGACGAGAAATGCATCGAAAGGATCGAGAATACAGAGTAGGTTCTTGTGGTTCTGAAGATGCAAAGAATATCATCCTAGGGGGAAGCTTTATTATCCTCCTTATAATTTTATTTCACAGCAAATATATCCATAGTGAAGCTGTGTCGAAGCCGAAGGCCTACAAACCTAGCCTGGTTTAACAAACAGAAAACGAAATGAATCATCAGATATAATAATTATATAGAAAGAGGTTCAAATTATTCTTTTGTCACAAGTATATTTCAGTCTAGTAGCAAGAAAATACCTGCTTCATACTTGTAATTTTGAGAGCATGGATAATCCCCACAAATAGATCAATGTTTTGGAAGGAAAATGAACATTTTTGGTAGAAAATGACTTGTCTGGCCACCTAAATAGGACAGAAGAATAGTAACCGCTCCACCCAATTCAACTAGGTGGTCTTGTGATAAATGCCTTTAAAGGTGAAATTTCCCATGTCTTAATCCCAACACTAAACCTAAGACAAAAATAAACCTGAACCCTAATTTTAACCCGTATCTAAACCTAAATCCTACCGTGGACACGAACTCAAAGCTTACCCTCAACATAGTCCTGACCCTAAGCCTAAACTTAGTGTTACCCCCAACCCTGAACCGAACCCTAAACTTAACCTTAAAACTCACCTTAATCATAAATCTTAGTTTCCCCGAAGTTGGCGCAAAGCCACGAATATCGCGGGTGATTCCTGCACCAGAATCCTTTTTGGCGGCCACAAAGTTATCCTTACCCATTTTTCTTCAAAAAAATTATTTATTCGTATCTTGTCTTATCTGATTTATGTGGTCAAGAGAGGCAAATTTAAATTTGCGTCGTCTGTTGAATGATTTTTCCATGTTTATATTACTTTTCTCGCCAGAGTACCACGCATGAATGCATAAAAGTAGCCTAGGAAATGACTTGACGCTGGAAGCTGTAATGTGAACTTTGTCAAAATTATCAATAGTTGCATTGGTAAAAAAGGTTAGACGCACGTATCGCAGAAAAAGTTTTTTGGGCCACGATAAACTGAGTGTTAAACTACCGACCACGCGAAGTACCACGAACCCATCCTCCTGCTTTCTTTATTCATGATCAACGTCATTTACTCTTGGCTATCTGTTTTGCTGGCACTTCCAATAACAATCAGTTACCCTTATTGAGATTACTTAGGTATATAATCTATATTCACATTGTCTGCCCCTATTTTGCCAAGTAAACTAAATTATCTATCGACGCAGGGAG